CGGAATTCAAGACGGAAATCAACTCGGATCTCGCCGGGAAGTCCAGCTTGAACGGAGAGGTACAAGCCAGACAGCACGTGCTCGTTGGCGCGGATTTCAGGAACAATTTGGTGGCCGCGGATCCACGAGTCGGTGTGCACGACTGTCACAGACAAATAAAAGGAAACGCGAGTAGCAGCAATGGCGATGTGGCGGCGTTTTCGGATTTGAAGAGCACCTCGACGGAGAGTAAAGTTATGACGAGCGACGGCAGACCGGTGATGGACGTTTCGAGCAGCGATTACGGATTCCCCAATTACTTGCCACCGGCTAATTACCAGATGCAGTACGTTAATTACATGGAACAGATGCCTATGGACCAGAATCTGCAACGACTATGGTAGAAAAGGATTCCTTTTGAAAGCTAGCGCCTACGATCGAGTCGAGTTGGATCTCTGAGCTAAGTTACGCGCAAGTTTAGTAGAAAAGTCGAAAGAATTTTTTGAAGAGACACGGACGAGTTTCGTGGACTGACCGATGGAAAGTTGTATCGTACGAAATTCGAAGAATTTCACGTCAGTGTTTCACGATTTTAGATCTGACTTCCGAGTCAAGTGTTTGAAATTGTTTAAAACGGCTAGTGTTATTTCTGAAAATTACGTTCCACGCTTTCGTCAATCTTTAAGATTTCCAGGTATAAATTACGTTCTTTTACTCTCGAATAATATCGTTGGATAGCAGGTAACTCACAATTTCATTTAATTCGCATCAAGAGTTTCATTCTTATTTTATATTTTACAAGGCGAAGATTGTCAATAACACTAGTTATACAATTAAAATTTACACTCCAAAGTAAGATAAATAAATAAAACAGAGATAAATAAATAAAAAGGACAAAGAATAGATCAATTTTCAATGGCAAATCTCAAACATTAGACAACGTTGCCAAACAGATAGCCAAAGAGTAATCGCGGATGGTGCAACTTTTAATTGCCAACGATTGCGGTAATTTTAAATTCGACATGGTAAGACTTTCGAGCAGCTGTGTTTCACTCTCTTCTTGTTCTTTTTTTTTCTTCTTGGCTCTCTTTTAGTGAGGTAAGACACCCTCCTTCCTTCGAAATGGTAACGCGCTGCTCAAGAGGCCCGAACGGAAATTACTTCAAGTGGCTTTTGCGGAAACATCAGTTACCCGGTATTCCGCAGACCTTGTTCTTCTCGTGATTCTATTTTTTTTTTTTTTCGTTCGATAAACCGGTTCTTCAATTCGACAAACACATTCGTCTGTGGAAAATTCGTGAATGGTATCGCTTCGATTATTGTACGACAAAATTTTTCCCTCGAAAATCTGCGAATCTGTTGTACTTGCTTAGGTACCGATGTTCACTATTTCACGGGAACGAGAAAGAGGACAATAAATAAACGTGAGAGAAATGACTAAATTCTGGAATCGTTTCACTTTACCTGAATCACTGTTTCCAAAGTGGAATATTCCTTTCTTAAATTACAACGATACATCAAGATACAAATCCCTTTGCTCTTCTTCTTAGTTAATTGCTTTAAAGTTAAAAACCTACTTGGAAGATTATAAAATCAACTGATCCTAAAGTTTCCCTTCCCTTATTCGCGCTGTTTCATCGTTCAAACCACAAGATATACGATCCGAGGTGAGATGACAATAAATAAAACGAAAAAAATAACTTTACTTGGTCACGGTTCTCAAAGTAGAATGTTCCATTTCTAAATAACATCGACACTAAAGTATTAAAAGTCGACTTGAATGATCGTAAAACGATCGGAGTTTCCTCGCCAATTTTGTTTCCATCCGCGCGATCTCACCGTCCAGGTCGATAAAACAAAAATATGGCGAAATGGCATTTATAAATAGGTGAGCTCTGACAGCTTGAGCGAAGCCATGGGTGCCTTTTAGGTTATCGCGCGAGCACGACGGGTCATCTGGCAGTCAAGTGCCTTCACATAGGCGATTCAACGTCGGCGTAATCGTTGTTCATGGCGCTACCGCCGCCATAAAGGACCATGGGAACAAGCTGATAAAAATGTCGCTGCCGATGTTCCGACACAGATCGCGTGGCGTTTCCCATACACGGCCATCTCACCTTCCACCAGCAGACCACCCTTTCGAAGCAGAGACCTCGCTCCGCCCCTGGCCGCACCTGCGAAGCACCTGCCCGCACTTGTTCCTCGAGATCTACTTCCTTTCCACAGATGTGTTCCAGATACAGTTCCTCAAACTCCCCAAACGATTTCTCTGCGCGTTAATTTCCGCTTGGCAGTGAAACCAAGCGATAAGAGTATTTACGTTTTTGCTGATGTTGAAATGAAACTAACGTTGGAATGACCAATTTTTAATTTTGAATTGATAGAATTCGAAGAGAAGAATTTGAATAGAAGAGTACATTTGTCGAGAGTTCAAGTTCTTCATCTTTTTTTTTATTTTATTCTTTTTTTGCTTTAACCCCTCGCGTTTGTATAGAGTTTTATATTATATTACAAATTTTCTTCCATTCCTCGCTCTTCAACTTCTACGATACAAAACTGTCGATAGTTTCAGTGCCAACTGCATTTTTTAAATATTCTTGGTTACGGAGAGATTAGAAAGTAATATATTATTGGACTTAATTCTCTATAATACGATATGGTAATTCGAAAGTTATATTTATTTATCCATGCTTTAGTACATTTATTAGATCATCATATTGTAGTTTATCGACATACTATTACAAAAATAACAAACTACAGAGATTCTCAACTAATTACTAGTTCCCAAATTCTAAATCGGTGCTAATAATCTTTCTTTCTCTTCCAGACGAAATTCTAATCATTAAATTGAAATAAAAATAACTTTTAAAGAAAGAGCACTTCAGTTATTCACTGCCAATGATAAAAATATTACCGATGCAAGCAATTTGCGAACAAGCAAATGCAATTCCTTTCTCGTTTTTCCAGCCTGACTGCTGAAAGTTCCATTAGGAGATCGTGTGTATTCGCATAATCAATCACCGCATGTTAAACTTCGAAACCCGATCCTATTTGCCTGCGATCGAATAGGAAGCTAGGTGAATATCCACGAGACGCGAAAGGGAACACGAAATGTTGATGCTGTACAAATAAAGATCGGAGTGCATATGCATAAAACGTATAGTAGAACGTTTGGATTTATTTAGAGATGATCGCGTTTATCCTCACACACAACTCATTAATCATACCGCATCAATCGTATTTCCTTTTTCCTGCTAGTATGTTCTGTCTAATGCATATTCTGTTGGTGATTAAACGAGTATGTAATTAAGTAGAGTAAGTAAAATTCCATTGTGCTAATGTGCGAATTCTGTTCTCGTTTTATTTTCACAAAACTCACTAACCATATCACACTTCTGCGAGTATGTGAATATTCTGTTGACGACTAAAAGAATATGTAATTAATCGGAGTATATAAGTGAAACTCCATTTGTAAATGTGTGACTTTTAAATAACTCTGCTATCAAATTGGAGACGTAGTAAAATATGAATGCAGGTGAATGATGCGAAATGTGACATCACTGACAGCTAATTATAGCGATGACGTTCGTAAATTCAATGGCACAGACAATTTTATATCTTTTACTTTTACCTCGAATCATATCTCCTATTATTAACATAAACCATTAAATATAGGATACAATACTTTTAGGATTTTTTTTTTTAAATAAGTAATTTAATATAATTTTCTATATCAATTTTTTGTAGATGACCTGTTGTACCGATGGATGACGAACTAGCTGTCTGTAAAGCAGAGATCTGTGTAACCAACTGAGAGCATAGTAGAAATGCTTCAAGATATTCATTTTATCGACTGTAGAGAAAGTCGTTTGAAATTCTTCCGAAATCAGATACGTTTCTTAGCGCGCTCTATGTCGATGGCTCGTAAAGAATAACTTCCAGTTTTTGTTAATATAGAAATTGAGACAATTTATCAAGAAATTACTTATTAATTTTTACCATTTTTCGATGATCAAGTTTGATCATCGAAGTGTCATGTGATGAATTGTTTCTTATTTCTTCGATCTTACTTCTAATTTAATCAAACGATTGATAAATAATTCGTGTTTATTCCTTAACCGCCACTCGTGTCACGAGCAAAGCAATGTTTGAGCCATCGGAAATAGTCGCGCTGTCATCCGTCTTTGAAACGCTCATTAATGCTAGGAATCGGCGAGCTACAAACGGCCGAAAATAGTATCGATAAACTAGCCAATCCACAAACTACCGGAACCATTAAAAGAACAGCAGTTCCTGCTGTCATCCCGCCGTGGTACAGCAATCAACCCGCTTAACAAGCAATATAACGTGTCCCGATTCGTGGACTTTGGTTCGGTTTTATCCAAATATTAATACACCTTCCACAAAAAGAACGCTTGGATCGCCAGACGATGAAAATCAATCAATGACAAATCGATTCTACAATTTGCGAAAATTCCAAGCGCGATATAAATAACGAAACGAAACGATACTACATCAATCTCTTTCATCACTGAACCGAAACGATCTTTCCGAAAGTTTTCGAAACGGCAACAGTGAAACGTTACGAAATTAAAAAAAAAAAAAAAAGAAAAAAGAAAAGAAAAGAAGAAAACGAAGTTTACGTCCAGAATCTCGGCAGAAAAGATTCATTGAGCAATTCCGTCGTTCTAAGGGGCGAGATGCAAGGGGTGGCGAGAAAACGCAGGACCGAAAGGTAAACGCAGAGAGGATGAAAGGAGAGGAAGAAGTAAATGAGCGAGAGGCGGTGGCGGCAGCGTATACTAAGCACTAATATTACATCTCTGGACTGACAGACGTGCGGACTTTAAAACCCAAGACTAACAAACAGTTAGCAGTCATCCGGTCTTCTTGTTTTTATATTCTTATGCC